CCTTAGGTGGGTTAAGGCTAATAAGTCACTCGGCCCTGACCCTACCCCCAACAGGGTATGGTCTGAATTCGCCTTCGAGCTGGCTCCGGTTGTCTGTGACATTTATCGATTATTCAATCGTTTATCCCTTCTCAACTAAAGCAGTCAATTGTGTGCCCTGTTCCTAATTGCAGCGCTCCCAAGGTGGTTGAGGAGGATTTACGCCCAATTGCCCTAACTTCACAGCTCGCTAAGATCTTCGAGGGATTTACCTACTCGTCCTTGCTCTCCCAAGTTCAAGATCAACTTGACGATAAGCAATTTGCGGTTGCTCGTAAATCTACTACTCACGCACTGGTGTACTTCATGCACGTCATCCTCGAATCACTCGACAGGGAGGGCATGTACGCCAGGATTCTGTTTACTGATTTTAGTAAYGGGTTCGATCTCGTCGACCACAGGGCTTTGCTGCACGAGTTGGAGGTGCTTCGCGCTTGGCTCCCCTTCTCTTCGCTATACTTGTGAATAGGCTGGCCAGTGAATGGTGTACTCGTCTTAAGTACGTTGATGACCTTACCATCTTGGAACTTATTCCCAGGAACTCTAAAAGCTATCTGCCCATCATCGCATCTAATGTAAATAAGTACTTCCTAGAGCGCAATATGAAACTAAACCCAAAGAAGTGTAAAGAGATGGTTGTTGATTTTCTCCAGTATAAATCAACTTGTTCCAGTCCTCTGCTAATAGGGGGCGCCCTAATCGAAAGGGTATCCCAGTACAAACTGCTGGGGGTCATAGTTCCTGATGACCTTTCATGGAACGCACATTGTAAGTACATATACGATAAAGTTTCCAAACGCTTCTACGGTAGACTTTCACCTTCCCAATTAGTATCTGTATATTGCAGTACGATTCGCTCTGTGCTCGAATATGCGTCCCCTGTACGGGCGGCACTTCCAGCCTACTTAAGTGACCTTTTAGAATGTTGTGTCGGTCACATGACCTGAGGGGGGAATGACACGTGGAGCGAGGAGCGAGGGATGTCGATTGAATTCGTTTGTTGTTATTTATCTTATATGTGATTAAAGAGGCGTAGTTACGGACAGAATACAGCATAGAACAAGTCCAGAGAAAAGCTCTTTATACTGTCTTCCCTGGTCGTTGCTATAGCGACGCACTACATCTTGCTGACCTTGAACTTCTTAGCGATAGGCGGCAACAAGCTTGCGTGA